ACATTTAATGTAATTCCTATCAAAATGCCATCCACTTTTTTCAAAGAAATGGAAAAAATAATCTTAAAATTTGTATGGAAACAGAAAGGAGACTGAATAGCCAGAGGAATGTTGAAAAAGAAAAGCAAAAATGGTGGCATCACAATTCCAGTCTTCAAATTCTATTACAAAGCTGTAATCATCAAGACAGTATGGTACTGGCACAAAAACAGACACATAGATCAATGGAACAGAATAGAGAGGCCAGAAATGGACCCTCAACTCTATGGCCAACTAATCTTTGACAAAGCAGGAAAGAATGTCCAATGGAAAAAAGACAATCTCTTCAACAAATGGTGTTGGGAAAATTGGACAGCCACATGCAGAAGAATGAAACTGAACCATTTCCTTACACCACACACAGAAATAGACTCAAAATGGATGAAAGACCTAAATGTGAGACAGGAGTCTATCAAAATCCTAAAGGAGAATATGGGCATCAACCTCTTCGACCTCAGCCACAGCAACTTCTTCCTAAAAACATTGCCAAAGGCAAGGGAAGCAAGGGCAAAAATGAACTATTGGGACCTTAACCAGATAAAAAGTTTTTGCACAGCAAAGCAAAGAGTCAACAAAACCAAAAGACAACCGACAGAATGGTAGAAGACATTTGCAAATGACATAGCAGATAAAGGGCTAGTATCCAAAATCTATAAAGAACTTACCAAACTCAACACCCAAAGAACAAATGATCCAATCAAGAAATAGGCTGAAGACATGAACAGACAGTTTTCCAAAGAAGACATCCAAATGGCCAACAGACACATGAAAAAGTGTTCAACATCGCTTGGCATCAGGGAAATCCAAAGCAAAACCTCAATGAGATACCACCTCACACTAGTCAAAATGGCTAAAATTAACAAAGTAGGAAACAACAGATGTTGGCGAGGATGCGAAGAAAAGGGAACCCTTCTACAATGTTGGTGGTAATGCAAGCTGGTGCAGCCACCCTGGAAAACAGTATGGAGGTTCCTCAAAAAGTTGAAAATAGAGCTACCATATGATCCAGCAATTGCCCTACTGGGTATTTACCCCAAAGATACAAATGTAAGGATCTGAAGGGGTACGTGCACCCCGATGTTTATAGCAGCAATGTCCACAATAGCAAAACTATGGAAAGAGCCAAGATGTCCATCGACAGATGAACAGATAAATAAGAAGTGGTATATATATATATATACAATGGAATATTATGCAGCCATCAAAAGGAATGAAATCTTGCCATTTGCGACGATGTGGATGAAACTGGAGGGTATTATGCTGAGTGAAATAAGTCAATCAGAGAAAGACATGTGTCATATGATCTCACTGATATGAGGAATTCTTAATCTCAGGAAACAAACAGGGTTGCTGGAGTGGTGGGGTTTGGGAGGGATAGGGTGGCTGGGTGATAGACATTGGGTAGGGTATGTGCTATGGTGAGCACTGTGAATTGTGTAAGACTGTCGAATCACAGACCTGTACCTCTGAAACAAATAATACATTATATGTTAAAAAAAAAAAAACAAGATGATAGTAGGATGGGAAAAATGAAGGGGGAAAATCAGAGTGGGAGAGGAACCATGAGAGACTATGGACTCTGAGAAAAAAACTGAGGGTTCTAGAGGGGAAGGGTGGGGGGATGGGTTAGCCTGGTGATGGGTATTAAAGAGGGCACATACTGAATGGAGCACTGGGTGTTAAACGCAAACAATGAATCATGGAACACTTCATCAATAACTAATGACGTGGGTGCCTGGGTGGCTCAGTTGGTTAAGCGACTGCCTTCAGCTCAGGTCGTTTTCCTGGAGTCCCAGGATCAAGTTCCACATTGGGCTCCCCGCTCAGTGGGGAATCTGCTTCTCCCTCTGACCCTCTCCCCTCTCATGCTCTCTCTAACTCGCAAATAAATAAATAAAATCTTTAAAAAAAAAAAACTAATGATGTATGGTGATAAACATAACATAATAAAATTTTTAAAAAGATCCAATTTTTTGTATTCAAAACCTAAGTGTAAATATGCCTAATACAATGATTGGCACATAGTAGGCACTCAGTAAATTTTGACTGGCTAAGGTCCAAATCAAAAACAAAAGGCTAGATACATGGATATCAAATGTTAATGATGCATATCTATAGGTGGAGGGTGTTAGGTGAGTTTTACCTTCTTCTCTGTTTATTTCTGTATAGTATGAAAGAAATTTTCAATAAATGGGTGTTATTTTCCTAATCAAAAAAAAAAGATGAAAAGTGTTATATTTCAAAATCTGGGCCTAGCCTCTGAAAGTAGTATTATCAACAGGCTGATTTTATCCTTAATATTTTTTAACATAAAACTATTCTAGTACTTTGTTGTGTCAACTGCCTTTATTTAATACTAAATTGGATTACTAACTTGAATTTAAAATAAAGTGACCAGTTGGTGATGGGTATTAAAGAGGGCACGTTCTGCATGGAGCACTGGGTGTTATATGCAAACAATGAATCATGGAACACTACATCAAAAACTAATGATGTAATGTATGGTGATGAACATAATAATAAATGAATAAATAAATAAATAAATAAATAAATAAATAAATAAAATAAAGTGGCCAGTCGCATTAAGAAAACAGATTCACCAAGTTTCTGGTATTTTCTAGTGTCTTTTGGTATCTTCACTCATCACCAGAGTGGTAGGTTAGATCTTGAGCCACTGGAATGCAAAGTTGCATCCTTGATCTTTACTTAAATTGCCTATCTCAGGGGCACCTGGGTGGCTCAGTCAGTTAAGCAACACACTCTTGATTTCGATTCAGGTCATGATATCAGGGTCGTGAGATCAAGCCCCACATTGGTCTCCATGCTAGGTGTGGAGCCTGCTTAAGATTCTCTCCCTCTCCCTCTGCCCTTCCCCCACCCCTACCCTGTTCACACATGCACTCTCTTTCTAAAAAAACAAATATTAAATTAAAAAAATAAATTATCTATCTTAAATGATGATCGAAGAACCAGGTGGAGACCAAGGGACTAAGATATAACCTAAATTATTCACAGGCTCGCTCATGTTTTGGGATTGGCAGAGTATGTGAAACAATGATCTTAAGTTATTTGGGGAAATATGGAGCATGCCAATCATATTTTTCTGTTGCTATCATTACCCTTCTGCTTATGTGTAACACTGATTGAGACACTTGAGGAAGATGTGACAGTAATATCTGTTAAGCAACTAAGCAGTCTTTTGGGGAGTAACACAGATTTTTGAGATACCATGTACAATTCTACTTTCCCCTGCTGTTCTTTTTCAAATTTAGGATCTTTATTTTGTAAAAGTTCCAAGTTTTTAAAATTAGAAATTGAAAACTCATTCAGCCTGCCTCGAGAGGGGATGGAATACCTGATGTATGTTATTGCAAGGTCCTTACAATTTGATAGAACATGAAGGCCATGCAAATAAAAATTGAAAAATGGCTGTGGTAAGCACATTAAAATAAAGTTATTTTTGATTGCATGCTTGGTATACAAGCAATATATGATATGATTATTATGTATGTTCATAGAAAAAGACAATCATATTGAAACCAATATAAACAGCATTCAAGGTGCTATAAAAATTTTTGAAAGTCACACCAGTCAGCTGGACAGACAGGGCTCTCTCTTCCTAGCTCATGAACTAGCAGACATATTTTTGAAAGTATAATGTTTACCCAATTGGCTTTTATTTTGAAATAAATGTTACTTCAGGGGCTCCTGGGTGGCTCAGTCATTAAGCATCTGCCTTCGGCTCAGGTCATGATCCCAGGGTCCTGGGATGGAGCCCCATGTTGGGCTCCCTGTTCAGCAGGGGGCCTGCTTCTCCCTCTTCCACTCCCCTTGCCTGTGTTCCCTTTCTCACTGTCTCTTTCTCTGTCAAATAAATAAAATCTTAAAATAAAAAGAAAGAAATGTTACTTCAAATACTGTATAGACAAAAAGAACAAACTCTGGCCAAAAAGAGTAAACAAGTACAAATAGAAAAAATGAAGAGGATACTTTGAAATTATTCATATCTGGATATCCATAAGAGTGACTGGTATTTATGGAAACCCATTTTAGTCCATAGTGTTTATCCAACCATTTCAAAAATTGTATGTGTGTGTGCATATATATGAATTCATATATTATATAACTATATATTTATTTGTATATATTTACATATATATAAAATTATGTTATATGTTATATGCTATACAATTGTTATTATATACTTATGTTAATATATTGTGTATATATTAATATGATATATAATAATATATAATTATATAATATTTATATGTAATTTATATGCATTATATATCCACTTTTTAATCTGTATTTTCACTCTTTAAGTGTGGAAAATACACATTTTCCAGATAAATAGTCAGCAATATGCATTCTCCAAACCACAGAGAAAATGGGACACGTGGCAGATTAATTGTAAAATATCAACAAATTATACCATATGTAAAGTTGTAAAATTTGACATTATTTGTCTGGCTATTTAAATCTGTACATTATAGAGTCCAAAGAAAATTCCTAATCATAGGTTTAACTTGATTGACTCTTTTATAACATTGCTGCAATTAGAGTCACATTTGTGCAACAATTTTAGCAAGGAAGAATTTTTTTTTATTCTCTCTCAATATTAGTTAAGGTAAAATTTATCTAACAAGTTAATTTATTTTTGGTTCCTATAGTCTCTTTTTGACATTTGGAGCTTGCCTATTGATAGTAAATGAAAAGTAAAAGATGTCAGCATCATTGACTATCTGGTTTCACAGATATATTTTCTTGGAATTAAACTTTTTCTTCATTGATATGCAGAGATAAAATGAAGATAAATAGTAGTCATTTATGATAGTTATATTTGAAAGATTATTTTCATTTCTGTTATTGGTCATTATTGTGTTTAACAGTAGGACCATGAAATGAAATGAGACATCAGAAGTTTTCAAAATGTTAATATATACTAATTGGCAAGATTGTCAATTTCCTGGATTTTCTAATGACAGAAACAAGAAGTTACAGAATATATATAAAGGGAAGCTCAGAACTGCGCTATCCAACTTCATGACCACTTGCTCCTCATCCTTTTCAAAGGTAAGTATTTTGTAATCAGTTGTTTTGATGAAACTTAGTTTTCCACCAGAATCAAAATATACCAAAGTTAATCTGAATGCAATATTTCTTAGAGGTTGTAGAGAAATGGAACTGTCACATGGCTGACTGAAAGTATTTTGCTTGAAAATTATATAATGGCTGGTGAAGATGACATGTAAGGGAAAGCCAAAGTTGTAACCTGACCACTTCCAGGAGTATTTTCCATCTTTGACAATCCTCTTACCGCATCTCATGCTATGTTCTTCAAGTTCTGTTTCATTGATGTTTTGAGGCCCAATTTCCCTATATTATTGTGCTCTAAGCAAGGTAAACCATTGTTGTTTATAAACAGATAAGCATTTTGAAGGTATCAGAGTATCTTGTTCAATAACTCTTGTGGAGGCCAGGTCAGAGATGATATGCCGAAATCTTAAGTTTTTAAACACTGGTTGGAAAGGTATGCCTTGTTTGGATTCAAGAAAGGAAATGTTACCAACATATTCCTTGTGCCTAGAAAACCAGTTGTTTGCATTAGCTAAAAGCTGTTTCATTGAGCCTTTCCAAGCTGGATTAAGGCGAAGGAATATCCACTCTTGAAGTGTGGTATATACTCCATTTCTTTCTGCATTACTAATAAATTAGAAGAAGAAATGAGAAGATTCATGAGATCTATACTGAGTTCTTTGTAAAGTTCAACACTTGGATGTGTCATCAAATTGTGGAGAAGCCATTCAAAGCACCCTGTCTTGACAGAATCTAACCCATAGGTCTCTGCTGCTGCATAATAGCCACATACAGTTTTTGCATTAATTGTTCTCTTCATGGTCTCATCACACTGCTGAATTAATTCTTCTACTTGAAACAGGCATGCTGTTGCCAAAACTCGTGGAATTTGAAGGGGACACATTAAGATGTATTTATCCCTATACAATGAGCCTAGTACAAAATGCAGGGAATCTACATCTATATTCTGGTCATTAATCTCCAGGTCAATAATATCTTTATGCGATTCTTCCCAAGAATCTCTAAACATAGTAGCAAAGTAGCTTGACTGACATAAAAACATTTTGTGTAAACATCATACTTTCCCAAGGGCACGAACTTTAACATCACTTGTTTCCCCATGCAAAAATAAAGTTTGGTAAGCATACTCAGATGCAATCTTAACTTTTTTACCCTGGCTTGTGCTGACTACATGCTGTAGATCCTCCTCCAGTCTAAAGACCTTTGGCTGATCTCAGATTCCGGGCTCAAGCTGGGCCCATGGCTCTGCTTGCGTTTATGGCTGCCAGATATATAACTGGGGCCCGCCTTAACTTCTGGCGACTTCGAATTAACTGTGCCTGATTCCCTGCATTGCAGTATCTGACTGCTCAGGGGCCCCATAGATGAAAGATCTCAGAGCCCCTAAATGAGACTGTTGCAAAGACTTCACTGCCATGGCATTGCTGTGGCTTGCCACCTCTGCCTAGACCCTAGTCAAACACAGTCCCAAACGTCACAGAGGAGGCCCTGCATTCTTTATTGTCCCCCTCACCCCTCCCTCCCTGTGGTCCAGCCCCGTTTCCAGTCTTCCATTGAGTTTGGCCCCTTGCTAAGGCCCAACCCTCTAGGCTTTTTCTTGAGAATGTTATTCTATAAGAGAAATGACATAGTCAAAGGTTTTTTGATCAGAGTGTTAAAGATTGTACACATTCAAGCTCCCACTGCTAGTGTATGAGAACATTTTTTCTCAACTGTCAGTATTGAATATAATCATTTCCCTACAATTTTTAGCAATTCAAAAAGATGAACAGTGGTATCTCGTCATTTGCCTTTGATTATTAGGGAAGGCAAACTCACGTACATTTGTGTATGTGTGTGTATGCATTTTTATACACACATATATATACACTATATACACTATATATGTGTGTATATGTATATATACACATAGACAATTTTGAAAATGTATATATATGCATATATATACACATATATACACTATATACACTATATATGTGTGTATATATATATATAGACAATTTTGAGATCTCTGTCCTTCATATATACCTAAAGAGGGAGAGAGATTTCAAAATTGTCTATGTATGTATATATATATATATACACACTCATAGTATATAGAGTGTATATATATGTGTGTATATATTATTTCTGTATATGTTTATATTATTTTCTCTTTATTAATTGCTAAAATCTCCTTATAATGTAAGACTAGTCATTGTTTGTTATATATACATTTTTATCTATCTATCTATCTATCTATCTATCTATATCTTTCTCTTACTAGCTTTTATTTACCATTTAAAATGTCTATGGGACTCATTATTATAAGGATGTTTTCATTCTTATTTTTAAGTTTTATTTATTTATTTATTTATTTGAGAGAGAGTGTGTGAGGGGAAGGGCAGAGGGAGAAAATCTCAAGCAGACTCCCTGCTGAACATGGAGCCCATGGTGGATCTTGATCCCAGGACCCATGAGATCATGACCTGAGTGAAACCAAGAGTCAGATGATTAACCAACTGAGCCACCCAGACACCCCAGGATGTTTTAATACTTAAGAAGCCAAATTAAATTTTCCAAGTATGAGTTTTTGTATTTCTGTTTAGAAAAATTGTCCTTATCTGAAATTAGACAAAGATTCTTTTATATATCTTTGCTGAACTTTCATGGTATTATTTAATTTTTTAATATCTAAATATTAAAATTTTAATACATTTGGAAAATTTCATTATTTGAAGTGACAGAAGCATTATACAAAGGAGTACATATATTATAAGGCAACTTTTTACAAACAAAAAATACATCTATATTGGATATGCATGCATACAGAAAATACTGAAACTACTAGACAAGATTCTACCATAGTTTGTTGTTGGATAATTGTATTATGGGTAGTATCAGAACTAAGCAAGGAGGCAGGTACAATAGGGTCTATATAATGAGTGGTTGCATGGCATTCTTATCTTTCTTAGCTGCAGTTTCTGTGGGTCTTGTGTTTCTTCAGGGCAAGTTTCTTTCATTTATCACAAAGCAGGACAATCTCTCTCACTTCCAAATAGTAGTAGTAATATGCATGGACAAAAACAATGAAATCCAAGATTATTTTTACAGAATGATTTTTGTCTACTTGATTGACTATCAAAATTGCAGCAACTGAGAACACTGTCTTCTAGGTGCTTATTAAATATTTGTGGAATTGGTGAAAATATATTTTGCCCAAACTATTGAATGAATTTGATTGGTTTAGATATCTTTTCCATTCACAAACCTAAGACAATTTTATACCTTTCTTATAGAAATAATAGTCCTTGGATGCCTGGGTAGCTCAGTCGTTAAGTGTCTGCCTTTGGCTCAGGTCATGGTCCCAGAGTCCTGGGATCGAGTCCCACATCAGGCTCTCTGTTCGGCGGGAAGCCTGCTTCTCCCTCTCCCACTCCCTCTGCTTGTGTTCCCTCTCTCGCTGTATCTCTCTCTGTCAAATAAATAAAATCTTTTAAAAAATAAATAATAGTTCTTGATTTACAAAACTATTAAAGCTCTTTTAGTTATAGAGCATCCTCAAAATTGTTTTTAAGAGGGTCCATTTCATCTGGGATATATTGCTTTTCTCACACTTGCATGCCAATTGCTTCTGTAAACTTATTAACTCTATATCTATATAGGAGTCCTCAGAGGCCAATTACTTAACTTTGTCTACAATTTTGCATTATTCACTCTCATGGTTGCTCCTGGCCATCACTGTCTTCTGTCCCTCTGATTTTGGCTGCACCTATGTAGCCTTCCTTAGACTTAGGCCTGACTTTCTGATTCCTGAGGGTAGCTGAACAGGATAGTCTATGAGAAGAGTAAAGAATCCACTACAATCAATCTTATAAGGGCAATGTTTCTCAGTGTCAGTATTGCCGTTAGTTCATAGCAGAACCACAGGTTACTGCCTTATTACTCTGCTGGGGAGTCATCCATTTCTGTAATGAATCTGGTCTCAGGGCTTTCTCATTCAGTCTGTACCCATAAAGGCTTAAATTTTGACAGTGTTTACTACATGCTAAAGAGAAGTTAGGAGAAAGAAGAAATATGTGAAAACTGGGGTAGTGACAGAAAACTTGAAAGGAGGTAAAACTTCAGTATATGCTTGAAAAGAGGGTCTGATTTTTATACGAATTAGAGAGAAGGAGAGGGATATAATCAACTGAGCCACCCAGGTGCCCTAAAAACTCAGGCTTTCTTGTGACGTCCATTTGCATGATAAATGTTTTTCCATCCCCTCACTTTAAATGTGCAGTTGTCTTTAGATCTAAGATGTATCTCTTATAGGCAGCATATAGATGGGTCTTTTTTTTTTTTAATTTTTTATCTGTTCTGACACCATATGTCTTTTGATTGGAACATTTAGTCTATTTACAGAGTAATTACTGATACGAATTTATTGCCATTTTATTACTTGTTTTGTCATTGTTTCTGGAGATATTCTCTATTCCTTTCTAGTCTTTCTCACTTTTGATCTTTGCTTTCCACTCACAGATTCCCCTTTAATATTTCTTGCAGGAATGCTTTAGTGGTCATAAACTTCTTTAGTTTTTGTTTGTCTGGGAAACTGTTTATCTCTCCTTCCATTTTGAATGAAAGCCTTTCTGGATAGAGTATTCTTGATGCATATTTTTCCCATTCAACAGGTTGAATATAACATCCCACTCCTTTCTGATGTGGTAAGTTTCTGTGGAGAGACCTGATGCTATTCATCTGGGTCTTCCCCAAGGTAAGTTAAGCTCTTCCTTTATGTTACCACTTTTAAGACATTTTCTGGGGCTCCTGGATGGCTCAGTCAGTTAAGCGCCTGACTCTTGATTTTGGCTCAGGTCATAATCTCAGGGTCATGAGATAAAACCTTGTATTAGGCTTTTCACAGGGTGAGGAGCTTGCTTAAGATTTTTTCTCTACCTCTACTTTTGCCCCACCCCCTGCTCATGCTCTCACTCTCTCTCAAAATAAAAAAATGAAAAAAAAAATCCAGAGTAGCAATATTTATAACAGACAAACTAGATTTTAGACCAAAGATTGTAACAAGAGATAAAGAAAGGCACTGTATCATAATGAAAGGAATGATACAACAATATGATCTAACAATCATAAATATTTATGACCCAAACATTTCAGAGCACCAAAATATATAAAATAATTAATAACAAACATAAGGCATACAATAATACTAGGGAATTTTAACACCTCACTTACATTAATGGGTAGATCATCTAAACAGAAAATCAAGAGAGAAACAATCTCTTTGAATAAGTCACTGGGTGGACTTAACAGATATATTCAGAACATTTCATCCTAAAGCAGCAGAATCTATGTTGTTTTCAAGTGCACATGGGACATTCTCCAGAAAAGAGCACATAATAGGTCACAAATAAGGACTCAACAAATACAAAAATGTTGAGACAATACCATGCATATTTTCAGACAACAACACAATGAAACATGAAGTCAACCACAAGAAAAATTTTGAAAGACCACAAATACATGGGGGTTAAACATCATGGTACTAAAAAATGAATGGGTCCACCAGGAAATCAAAGAAGAAAATTAAAAAAACAAACAAACATGGAAGTGAGGAAGGGGCAAGACAGCGGCAGAGTGGATGACCTCGTTTTATCTGGTCCCTCAAATTTAGCTGGGTATCTATCAACCCATTCTGAACACACACAAATTCAACCTGAGATGTTAGAAAATTTATCTGGATCTCTGCAAGCAGAAAAAGGACTACTTTTTCCAAGGTAGGAGGTGCAGAAACTTGAATCTTTGGGGGAAATATCAAAAGATAAACAGGGAGAAGGAAGCTTCCATAAGCTGGCCACAAGAAAGTGATATAACACCAGAGCACAAAACTGGGACCCTTAGAAATCTGCTCCAGTGAGAGACATCCCTTTCTGAAAAGGGCACAAGGGATGAATAGGTCAGAATTCTACATGGATCATTATGGTCTCAGGATCCCAGGAGACTCAGAAAGAACAGGGGAGCCTGAATGGATAGAGTGCCCAAGTAGTAGAGTAGGGAGACTGGTTATGGTCAGTGAGCCCAGAAGGGATTCCCAGCTCTGGTCACCATAAACTACAAGCCAGACCAGTAGGGAGACTGCTTTCTCCTTGAGTAACCTGAAAAGGACTAGAATGTGTGGGCTGTTTACAATCCAAGAGGAGATATGAAATGGCTGCACCCATGACTGGGCACCAGCTCTCAGGGTGGCAGTGACCCGAGGAAGGACACTAGGGCAGCACCCAACCATGAGCTGAGAACAGCAGAACCAGGTGAGTGAGCGATCCCACAACCACTCGAGGTCACAAAGACACAAAGCATAGAGATGCTCATGGGTCACCAGAACT